CCAAACTATCTCCCATCATAACCAACATATCCCCAAACAGGGTCTGAGACACATAAACAATATTTGTGCTTATAGAGCTTAAATCACACTAATAGAAGAGAATATAGGAAGCTCAGGGTTGAACTGCGGAGTCCTTGGTGCTCTCTGAGCTGGGTTGTTTGATTGCCGAAGTTTTATTACCCAACTAGGTAACATCATCAGTGCTACTGAGTGTGAGGTTTCCTCCCTGTTTATATATAGTAGAACTACCAAGGAGAAAATCACACCCCACCAACACTGGCAAGGCAAGCTACTGTATATAAACAGGGAGAAAATCCCACACTCACTTAGCGCTGATGATGTTACCTAATTGGATAATGAAATGTCTGCAATCAAACAACCAAATTTAAATCACATTGTTGTGGCCACCATGTTGATTTTTTCCCCCCAAAATTGATTCCCCAAAATCCATTAAGGTGAAGACTTCTTTATTTTCCTTTTTACTGCCTTCCAATGAACCAGCAAACTGATGAATCTTTTCCTTGATAATGAAGGAGCTTGGAGGTGGTTGTTTATAACACTGTCTCTTGAATCTTGATCAGTCGGTGAACAAACCATTACACAGCCTCCCATGTTTCTTGCTTTATCATTTGTTTGTGCCCAACTGATTTTTCTTGTTGCACTTCTTCCTTTCCCCATCATGGCCAAAAGATGGTCTGTAACCTATTGGAGAACTTGGGATTTATCCTCACCTTCAGGAATCCCTGATACAATAGACTGCCCTTGAAATGTGCTAAGCATGTTGTGTTTTCAAGCACAGCAATGATCCTAACAGCCAACATTGCTATGTTAATCTCCACTGGGGCTTTCCTCTTGCTCTCTGAGTCATGGTCACTCTTGAGGGCCTCTGTACCAACAAAGCCTGTTGAGGAATACAGGATTTCATGGGGGATTTTTCTCCCTAATGTTTTGCCCCTAAAACCTGTGCCTGTTCCTCATGGATTTGTGGGTATTTGCTGGAGGATCACACTTTCCTACCTTGTGGTGCCCTTGGTTTCAGAAGCTCTCTCATTGCTTATAGAAGACTGACCAGTATGGCATTGTTTGCTGTTAAAAGGGGAAAGGGGATGGGTTTTCACAACAGTGACCCTTTCCAGTCGGGAGCTGAAAATCCCTGAGATTCCATATGTGGGTCCTCTGCAATCCAAGTGCATCTTTACCACTGAATTATCTCCCCTCTCCTCCTTTTACTTATTCTTACTTATACTCAGATTTAGCAAGTTGTTTCAAGGGGGTGGAAATCTTCCCACAAAATACAGAGAGCCTACAGTGAGCTTCCCCAGTCTCGTGATCTAGACATTTCTCAAGACAGCCAATAATGTGCACAAAAAGCCATGACCCAGTGTGATCTAGATCAAATGTAGTCTAGAGCAGATTTTTCAGACCAAGGGATGGGCAGACAAGAAGCACACCCAGGAGGACTAGCTCTATCTTTATTGTAAGGCTATAGTAACAGAATCTTGCAAGTCTGAAAGTACCTCTCCCCTCCCTTACTTTTACTCTCCCCAAAACTAGGGAGGATCCCTTCTGAGATGCTTTCCCCACCCCCAGCCCTCCTGTGGACTCAGATTTCATTTATCAGACCGTTGTCTAGGCTATGGCTCTTCCTCCTGTCTCCCAAGGTCATTCCCACACACTATTACTGGACACCTGTGGGGAGTCACAATGTCAAGATGGTGCTTGTGGCTATGCAAAGCCCCACCCTTTTTTTAGCTGTGATGCCTGCATGATGCACATAAAAGGGGTGGGGCTTCAATGATGCAGCTACCTTCTTGAGTTTTTAGACTCTCCCAGGGATGCTGTTGGGGTGCACTTGAAAGTAAATGAAAGCAGAGCAACTGAACCCCAACCCCCGAGATATATTTTTTTTAAAAAAAGATAATGACACGGTAAATTAAAGAATTATCCATTGATTGCCATTTTATGTTTTCCATAACCTGCTACCTGACTTTGTCTAAGGTTTGGGGCTGCCTGGGCTCTCTATGAGGAAGCTGTGGCCTCCCTCTGTGCCATTAGAGAGCCTCCTATTCCACCGAGGCGAGGGTGACCTGTAATGGTATGTGGGAAAGACCTTGGGAGAATCGGCGAAGAGATGCTGCCTAGGGAACAGTCAGATAAGTGGGGGCATAGCCCACAGCTGCATAGTGGGTAAGGCAAGAGGCTCAGAAGGGACCCTCCCTAATTTATTGGGCTGTAAAGGAGATGGTGGGAGAATTGTACTTTCAGACTTGCAAGATTCTGCTCATGTAGCGTTTATCTGGTCTTGTTTCCTATCTGGTCTACCTGGAAAGGCTGACAGTCCTCAGGGTGTGGTCAGAAAGATCACAATGGGAGCCTCAGTGGAGCAATCAAACTCTGCTGTCTTTTATGGCAACACATTGTTGTGGCTTCCAGTTTGACTTTTTTTTTTTTAACCATATTCTGTGGACGTTCCTGCACCTGAGCAAATGCACTGGGCTACCTTCTGCTCCCAGCCTTTTTGCCATCAGCATCCAGGGAGTGAAACAAATGGAGTTGAAGATGATTTTCATTTTTAAAGGCAATTTTTAAAAGCCCTGCTTGCTGAAAAGGCACTTTGGGAAAAGTGTGCATGTGTGAATTGCTTGCAATGGCAATTCTTTTGGCTGAGGGCAGGAAGCTGAAGCAAGTCACCCCACCAGCCCTGGGGCTGGGACACTTTCCCACTTCTCTTGCAAACCGACAACTGCTTGTGGCCTTCCAAATTAGACCTAGCTCACTTCCTGGCCTCCTCTACAGATTGTGATTGCCCAGAGAGCAGCTGTGCCCTGCTGGCAACTCTTGTTTGTTTTAGCAAAGCTTCTGCAGGAGACCTTCCCTGGTGCAATAAAGTCAGGCTTTTGGCAACTCAGGTCTCCTCCACTAAGAAATTGAGAAGATCTTTGGAAGAAGACAAATCTGATTCCCTTTAGCAAACTGGCAAGCCGCCCGCCTTGAGTTCCACCTGCTTTTCTTCTGCCATGCCTTCTCCTGTCTACATGGCTGGAAACATGTGCTCCATTTCCTTGCATTTCTTTTAACAAGCTTTTAACAGCCAAGCAAGGCACAGAAGGGGACACTGGAATTAAAAGACAGTTAAAACTAATTAATCGCATGCATGAACTACTGCCTGCTTGTTTTTCCACATTTTTTTCTCTCTCTCTCTTGCTTTTAGTGCTTACAAAGGATAGAGACAGGAGGATGTAATGCAGGCCATTACACCTGGAAAAATCCATTAATCTTTCCATCCTCATGGAAAAATAAAGACGGTTGAGTGTGGAGTTGAGCAGGGACATCCAGAGGGGTTCTCTTTTTTAGAGTCTTCTCCAATCAACTTCCACCCCACCCCAAAAGTTGGCCAGGTTTGCAATCCAGGCAGGATTAATAGATCTCAACAAGAGGCATTTTAGAATTTATTGACAGAAACCCAGGTTCATGGAATGCCCGGCTGACAGACAATGCGGCCATCATCTCAGAAAGCGAACTCAGGGGACAGTTGAGCCTCTGGCATTTTGAAATGCAGGACAATTTGGCAGCAGGAACTCTGGGTGGAAATATTCCAGCATTAGGAGTTTTTTAGCCTGGAGCAAATAGGGGAAAAGGGAGTCATAACAGATACATATAAATCATGCAGGGTGTATTCCATATTGGAATTCAGGATCCATCCATTAGAACTAACTTTGTGGAGATTCAGGACCATCTTTTTCACACCATGTGGAGCTACTGTGGACTTCTCTGTTTTCAGGCCAGGGGTCAGCAAAAAGTTTGGGAGGTTGTAAAAGTGGATTGCACAGATTCATGGCAGGTCAGATTATCAATGGCTCTTTAGGAATGAGAGAGAGCAGACCTATTATGGACCATAGAGGGAACAGCCATCAACCTCCTGTCCATATTTGTGAACATTCTGGAGGCAGCTGGTTGTCCACTGTGTGATGCAAGTTGTTGGCCCAGATACGATCTTGGCCTGATCCAGCAAGTCTCATCTTAAGTTCTATTGTGAAGAACAGGGAATGAAGAGTTCCTTGGTAATTTCCTAGACATGTCTATGTTGCTGTTGGTTTTTGTCCTTCTTTTTTAAGGTGTTTTTTTTTTTAACTATGCTGTCTAGTTGGGCCCTCTGCAGATTTTGTGCAGAACTGCATGGAGTTTAGGAAGCAACCTCGTCCTCTGCCCAGAGGAGAATCTCATCCAAGGTTTAGGCAAGGAGAGAGCAGTGAGTTTGCAGGTCATCTCAGGTTTGATTAACTTAGTCCAAGACAGGGATGGGTGAAGGAGGAAGGCCTTAAAGAAGGAGAAAGGAAATGGATTGAATGAGGAGTAAGAAGCTGGATTTTGCTGGTGAATTTCTTCCTACAAGAACCCAAGGACCTCAGGGAAGTGGAGAGCCCTCATTTCATGCCACTGCTCAACCCTGGAATGCCAGACTTCTAGATGAATATGCCTCTGGGTACATGCAGAGTATATTCCTTCACTGACTGTAGAGACTGACCACATTTCTCAAGCATAGTCATCTTCAACCTGTTGCCTCCTGGATGTCTTGAATGCCTCTTCCAGTCATCCTCAGTACAGGATAGTATAGTTTTATTGACCATATCAAGAAACAATGGGCATTAGCCCAATAAAACAGAATTTAAAAACATAAGATCAAATTAAGATGAGAGAAAATAGCATGGTATCATGGATGCTGTGCCTATAACTTAAAGGCACTAGGCTGGGACAGGGGAGTGGGAGGAAGACCTGACACACCCCGAACTGTCTGCTTAGTATCTGTTCATCCACCAGTGCTAAACAGCTGCCTGACATCAGCCCTCCCATTCAAACTGCTTCAGAGCCCAGCAAAATGGTCCCAAGGCCCTTTTCCAGCCAGCCTGTATGCATTTTCCACCTCTTCCCTGACCCCAACTTCTCTGCGATTGGCTCCTGGGCCTGTCTCCCTCACCTTCTCCACTCCTGACCCCTCCCAGGGCATCGCTGTGGAGCTCCTGCGTGGTTCTTCCCCTCCTGGCGCTCACCTGGATGTCGGCTGTGCTTGCCATGACTGACCGACGCTCCATCCTCTTTCAAGTCCTCTTTGCCGTCTTCAATTCAGTGCAGGGCTTCGTCATCATCACCGTCCACTGCTTTCTGCGCAGAGAGGTGGGCATTTAGCTTGCTGGGTGTTCATTGGGGCTGGAGGTGCTCCAGGGATGTATGTGAATACACCAATCCTGAGAATGGGGGTGGGTAGCCCAAGTCATTGACAGTTCATACAACATGCCAAACCTAGCCCTTTGTTTAGCCCATTTTCTGGAGTCACTCAAGACTTGATTCATAGCCTATCCAAGTGGGCTGGGTTTGCACAACACAATAAGACACACACATGCACACATGTACATTAACTAGGTTTAGAAGCTGTACAAATGTAGCCTTCAGGTTTTTAACTGATCTAGTTAAGGGTCTTGGCCAAAGGCAGTGAACCAGATTTGATGGAGACAAAAAAACCCAAGTGTGTTTTGTCTTTTGTCAGAAAATCACCACTTCTGCCTCAGAAAAGGTATCCTAGGAATAGGAAATATAGGCCTATGGCCATCAGTGCATTCCCAAGTCCCTCCCTTGTTGCTCACCTGGTTCCCTGCCCCACCTGAAATAGAACATAAAAACTAGGCTTAGCACAAGCATCTAGCATCATATTTGTTCACAGTCATGCCTTTGGGTCCCCTAGATAGCCTGCTGTAATGAGAAGTGCATACTGGAAGAGTGGCCCCAATGGTAACCGTCCTGGGAATGGATCCATGAGATGCATTTCAGATTGCAAATGTGACCTTGGCTCAGAATTGTTCCTTAATCCTCTACTGTCACACTCCCCATTTTGCTGCTCATAAAAGGGATGATGAAATGGGAGACAGCATTCTTTCTAGTTCTGCCACAACTTTTTCAATTCTAAAACATCATATATGAAGGCTCACTCTAAAGAAAAGGAGAGAAGGTGGGCAAAGGTCATTCTAGAGCTCTGCTTCAACTGGACTTCCCACTTACCTGCCTCCATACAAAGGAATTTGCTGTGGGAGGACGTGTATCCTGAAATGTGGGGGACAGAAACTAAACACAGCAACGTTATTACTGCCTGTAGCAGACAACACCAGGCCACCCTTTTCAGAGCTCAGAAGTTAAGGAGGTTGGGAAATGGGGGACCTCTAAGATGGACTGCAAAAAGGAAAATAGCCTTCTGGAATAAGACCCTATCAAACCACTTCAGTACTGTTGTCAAGGAAACTACACAGATAGGTCCATGAAGTCCCCAGCAGTTGAGCTTGACTTGATGGAGACTTCAACAGCAATAATGTACTTTCACCTTTAGTTCACAAAATAAACGTGCTGTAGCTTTCCAACATCTGGAAAAGAGAATTGCCTACAGAGTAGGGAGCATTTCATGTAGTGAAATCAATTGAGCTAAGCACAAATGGCTTTTCAACATTCCCCACCACATTTGGAGCAAGCAAATTGGGTCGAGTGTTTTGGCAGACTCCGCTGTGGAAGCGGAGAACTTCTCTAAGAATTTCTGCAGGACAGGGTCTCCCTTAGCAGCGACCACTGCCCCTGAAAAAGTCCGGGGAGAAAATCCATCCTGTTGTCTTCCCTGTGGGAAGCCAGGAAGCCTGCAACTCTCCAAAGAGTGGCTTGTAGAGTGCAAGACAAGATAGTTGCAAGGTGCTTTTGGTCAGCTCACAACTAAATGTGTCCAAGGAGATCAGGTGGTACATTTTACTGAAGTCTCTTATCGTTTGAAATTGAAATTGTGAAAGCAAGTTCTCTTTCATTCAGTTGAAAAAGACCCAATAGAAAGCACTGCAAGTGATGGCTTAAATGGCTTTCAAAAGGGGGTCCAGCCTTTGCTCCTTCGGTCAGCCCAGATAATGGCCATCAGGTACATGGAAGAAGATGGACCCTCCTCTCATTTGACCTATGCTGTTTCTTCCCTATTTCATCCCTCTTGGCCCTGAAGGCTGGGATCCCCCACTCCTTTTCCAGTGCCCTGCTTCTCTTAGTGTGAGTTTCATAGTCATAAAGCATCAGCTCAGGAATGTGGCAAGGGCAGTGCCTGTTGCCACCAGCTGCTCCCTGCAGTCCTCGTTCCCTGGTCAGAACGAGGGCGCTTGCACCGACACCTGCAACCTTGGAACCAACACCTGGGTGCTAAGGCAATCTGAAACAGCTGGCGTATTTGGGTACGCTGTCAGAGAGAGTCAGAACTTTTAAAGGCAAATAAAAATGGTGTCCAGGGATGGTAGGAGATGCAGATCATGCTAGTTCTTAAATAGACCCCAGGTAAAAATCTAGGTACTTGTGAAAATATTGTTAATATAAGTTCAGAAACAGTTGGGAAGAAACCAGGGACATCCACCTGTGGGGGATGCGGAACAACAGTGTCAAAATGGCAGGCACAACTGGGCTGTGGAAGCCCCACCCCTTTTCCCATGTGGGTTATTCACATTAAAGGGTGGGTTTGATTGCTCCGTCGTGCCTGGCTTTCTGACACGCCTTCCCAACTGCAAGGAAGGTGCTAGTAGCTTTTCCTTACTTTCCAGGAATTTTTCATGTCCCTTCTGCTAATTCCAGGAGAATCCATAACCAGCCCTCTCTCCTCTAGTCCCCCATCCCTTTAGAGTGGGTGAAACCAACATCTAAAGGGCCCAATTCCTGGATGATTTGGGGAGAGAGAGGAATGCAATAGAGGTCTTTTAGAAGCTGATGGATTCTTTTTACTCTTCTAAAAAAAAGCCACTTTTTTCCCATGGGGGAAATGGGTGGCTTAAGGCATCTATTTTACCTTTTAAGCACTAATTGGGCCAAAAATGCTGATGTCCTTGGTCCTTCTCCCTACATCCCTTGGAGGCCAAATTAACAAAAAGTGCCAGCTTAGAAAAATTGTTCCCTTCCCAAGCTCACCCAGAGGGACGTGCAGGAGAAGGATCCTTTTGTACATCCCTGCATTTTCTTCATACATTGACCTTTCTGTGTTAGGGCAATAAGAGAACCAGCTGGTATCCTACAAGGGTCAATCAGCTGCCCTCTCTTCAACCCGAAACCAGGAAATTTCTTAGCAAGCCATCAGCACTCCTATCCACCTCATTTCCTCTTTTCTACAGAAGCTGGACACAGCTGCTACCTAGGGTTCATTTGGGAAATGTACCAGATTTTATTTTCCAGAACCTAAATATGGAAAATAGGTAGTGGAAGAAGAGCACTGTGTTTTAAAGACTTGGGGCCAAATGATCTTTCTCTCTCCTGCAGGTCCAAGATGTGGTGAAATGCCAGATTGGGGTGTGTAAAAGTGATGAAAATGAGAATTCCCCAGATTCCTGCAAGAATGGACAAGTCCAGATCATGGTGAGTGAGTGTGGGCTGTGTTGTGTGAAGAGACAAAGTAGAAGAGCTGTAGATACCCAAAAGGCCAGAGTCTTGCACCTAGAGGCTGTTGAGGTAAAGCAGAGATCTGCACCTTGAAGAACTAGGGCTGAGTGTGCTCTCCACAAGTTCTTCAGGGTGGCCTGACACTTCCCAAAATCACCAAATTTCTTTTAACGGACAGGAGGAGATGATTCAATGCATAATTGGAGAATTGTTTGGATTGTATTTAATTTTAACTCTGTTTAAATGTAAATGAAGACCGATGTAGTTGTCCAGCCCTATCAAAAGCAAAGGGTAGTCCTTAGGGTGGAAAAAGTTGCACATCCTCCTGGCCTTGCTTTGATCTCTTCCCAGCTGTCTCCATCCCCACATTCTGGGCATGTGATGAGGGCATGTGATGAGGATGTCCCACCAGCTCCTGGCAGCACTCAAATCCTTGGATGTTAAGCATTAAAGTTTGTGGGTCTGTTACTCATGTGTGTTGTCAACAGGAGCCTCCATATGCCTTCAACCTCCACACATACTGTAGATGTTGTCTGTGCTAATAGTTTCATGGGTGGTGATTATTGAACATTTCTATTATGATCAATCAGTTTTCCTAATATTCAGAGAATTGCAAGTACATTCTCTGAATTATTCTTACATGTGCTCTCAAAGGAGAGCAGACAGCAAAGGGGAAGAGATGACATTCAGACTTTGACCTAGACCATGCCTGGGGTTCTTTGACCATATCTTAATGGTGCATTGAGTGAAGCCAGTTGCAGTGGCTAATAAACTATGGTTTATTTCTTCATGGATGTGTAAACCCAGTCAATTTATTAAGCCAACTATTGTCCTAAGTTTTTACATGGTGCTTGGTTCTGGCTACATATTTGGGAGAACCCAGCCATTGCAATTTGTAAATTATGGATTACAGTTAGGATGATGTGGGAAGCCAGGTACTTTGAATATATTCTACAAACCATGGTTAAAAAAAACCCTAATGCAGTATGTGAACCCAGTGAAGGATTGATGAGATCAAACTTACTGAGACTAAATTAAGAGGTTCCTGACTCACATCACACACTTGTGTGTGTTTTTAAGTTATGATCTGGTTGGTAGTAATGGCCTTATTATGGGCTTCGCCATTTTGGCAATGGATACGGCCATCTTCAATATCACCTCAATGCCAGTTTTGTGCTGATCAGTCATCAAATATTAACTCTGCCATTGGGGGCGCAGCCAAGCACACATAATAAAAGCATTTGCGCCTGGCTTTCAAAATATACTCTGTACTTAAATATGCAAACAGTGTTAAAACTTTTCAAGTGGATTATGTTCCAACAGAACAGAACTTAAAACATGTTGATTATTCCAAAATAGGGAATGATGGGAGCTTACAACACAGCCTGGGACCACACATGTAGATGGGATGGTAATCCATGCTGAGTGCTCCTTATCCCAATAAATCAATAAATCAGCAAGCAAGCAGAAGGGCTGGAAAAGATACTCATTTCCATTTAATTGTCACTTTGTTCTGTTTTGTTTTTTGCTTATAGGAATTTTTATTTATTTTCTTAAATCACCCCCTTCTTCAGCTTTGCTTTAGGTTGGGTGGTGAGCACCATTCAGTGTCGATAATCAACCCACTTGTGTTCTTACGCTGAAAAATGAGGATCAAAGACTTGTTTTGAATTCCTGTTATTCATTATGGCAGAACACTCAGAACAATGTGGAAAGAAATTCTTTGTTTGGTCCCAAGCTTAGGACAAAAGTAATATACAAGGTGCTTGATTAACAAGCTCCAAACACTCAGAACATCCATTCCAAGCTCTGAACATTTTGTGCATCCTTACTTTCCCTAATCCCCAAAATAACATTTATCAATGTGGAAATTCAAAAAATAAGCAAGATAACTAAACCTGGTTTGCTACCCATGATGCATTCATTTCTCCACTCCCACCTTCTCTTCTCTTCTCTTCTCTTCTCTACCTATTAGCATTTCACAGAG